GGCTGGGGAATTCTGGGAGTTGAAGTCCACACATCTTCAAGTTGCCAAGGTTGAAAAACACAGCTATGGGCTAACAGGATCCAGATAGCTTTCTCCCCATCTCTGCTAGGGTTTCATTTTCCCACTCTTGTTTTAAGCTTAGAAGAAAAAAGATTTGCCTTTTCCGCCAATGGTACATTTTTTAAAAATCAAATTGTTTGTGTGTACTGTTGCACGTATCCTCCTCTAATTCTCCCCCTAATCTTTGGCTATATGATTTATTTATTGAAACAGAGATGACACCACCTATGAGTTTCTTTGGAGATTTATGGGCTGCCTTTTCCTGTAGCCTATTTTCACACAGCTAGGGCTGGGAAACAGCCTTCATTGACAGCAAGGATCAGGTACCTATCATTCTATATATTACATTGTGACTGTTGTTCTTTTGATAATGATTTAGAAACATTAAGCTGCCTTTGAAAACAGAAACCTTTCCCCAAAAGATTTCTGTAAAACCAGCCATCTCCAACAGTGCCCTTCATACAGAATGTTTTAGGACTGCAATTCCCAGAATTCCTAGCTAGCAATAGCGGCTGGGAATTCTGGATTGCTGTTCCAATATTTGGAGAACACCAGATTGGAAAGGACTGCTGTAAACAAGCTTTAAATAAAGAGTAATAAAATATATTAATCTCAGTAATATAAAAAGAGAAAAAGGACTGAAAATGCAGGATAGCCAGAATCAACAGTATTGCACAAATTTTTAAAAAGTCAGTTAAAAGAAGAGCAGTGTTATATTAAAAGCAACTTATCTGCTCTGTCCAAATCTGCACAGAACAAGTTTTTAGGGCACAGCTAAAAAAACAAAATTGCCAAATATCTCTCTCATGGAACGGAGCTCTAGAGATTTGGACCAACCATGTCAAATGCTGACTTGCATTCCTACCGGTCCAGTCATACTGGAAGAGTCTCTTGAGCATTAAACCATCCTTGAACAAAACAGTCCCATGGTTCTAAGGAGAAATTTTTCAAACCTGGTAGCGTACAGTATGGTAGTCTCCTGCACCAGTGCTATGTCATTGGTCAGAATCCAGCACAATTTCATTGTTATTCTCTGTTCCTCTTACCTGAACTTTGAGATGACACCCGTGAACTTGGGAGCTCCTCGGTGGTCAATCTGATCTTTCTCCTCTGCTCTTGAAGTTCCAATTCTCTTTGCAAAGCATCTTGGATTTCCTGGTCAATCAGGGTGGATGTCCGGGGCCGCCATGTCTTCACAGTATAGAGCTCATCCCGTGGAGCTGCTTTCTGAGGTTTATGCTCTTTTTTCTGAAGGCTTGGGGGTCTCTGACCTTCAGGAAACGAGAACTGGAATTTCCGAATCGGAATGGCAAAATGTTGCTTCTTTAGCACAAACTTGTCTCTTGGAGATTTCAAATCCTGGCTACAGGAAGGGCTTTGGCTAGGGAAATCCATCTTTCGGGTAGAAGCAGCGGAGCACAGGTTTAAGGATAGTTCATTTCCTGGGGTTTTCTTGCCAACAGCTGGAACTGAAGAGGGCCGATGGATCTCAGAGCTCCAGTTCACATTCTGGCTTACAATTCTTTCTCTGTCCTCCTTGTGTGGGACAACGGCACAACAAACTGGTGCAGAGTCACCATTCAGGGGCTCCAGCAGCTCACCCTCTTTCTTTTGTTTGCACAGAGAAGGCAGCGGAGCCTCTTCCTCCTCCCGCTCAAAAATTTTCCGACGTTCTGCAAGCTCTTGGCGAAGTCCTCGGTCATATATTCCTGGCAACCTCCCTTCCTTTTGCAGGTCCTCCTCACGCTTGGTTTCCTGCTCAATCTCCCTCTGGACATAAAAGGAAATGCGAGGCTTATCCTTCCCTTTCCTGGAGGAAGCTGGAGAAGAGACTGGGGATGAGAGAAGAGGCTTGGATCGGATCTCCACCAGATCATCTCTGGAACTGATTCGCTGGATGCCCCGCTCTTTCCAAAGGTTCTCCTCCCTCTCCATGGCCAATCTGATTTCCCGCTCAATGGGGGTCTCATTCCTAACTTCTGGCTCTTTTGCAGGATCTTGGCCCCTGGCCAGAGGATTTCCTGATTCCTTTTTGGATGTCCTTCCATTAACATTCCCCGTGCTCAAGTCAGGGAGTGCTTCCCTCAAGCTAGAAGGCATCTTTTCTCCAGAAATGAAACTAGTCCCTGAATAAGAATTGGCTTCTCTTTGGGGGAGAATGAGAAGGTCTGCCCCCTTTGAAAATTCTTTCAATCGTCTCTGGCTGCACTCATCTGAATCCTTATCCTTCCTTGGCATTTCAGGATCCTGAGGTTCTTTGCTCCCATAAACATGGCTTGTTGCCTTCAGCTCCCTCACAGAAGGAACTTGTTTCTTGGGTTCCAGCAGCATCTTTGGATTAGTCTTTTCCAGCACAAGGAACTGCTGTCGGGCAGCAGCAAAATTAATCTGTTCTGTATCTATGTTCTCAGGATTGACAGGGATGCTTTCCCAATCTGGGGAAGGATTGTCAAAACAAAGAGCAAAGCTAGTGGAGTAGTTCCTTCTGGGCTCTGTTGTACCCTTGCCAAGAGAGGCCATGTTATTGGCTTCCAACTCATTCGTGGAGCTCCATTTTTCTGCTATTGTATTGCTTTTTCTCACAACTTGGCTTCTGATAATCTCCTGCCGTTCATCTTCCAGTTGTTTGGCTATCTCTGGTGAGGCAACCTTGGAGGGAATCTTATATTGCAACCCCTCATCATCTTCTTCATAGAGTCTGGAAGGTTTCTTCTCTCCTTTGTAAGCCCGGATGTCATAGAGTGAGCCAGATTTGAGTACTTCCAACTTGGATTCTCTGTCTGGGGGTGGCATCCAGAGATCTGTCCTTCCATTTATAGATTTGGCCATCCACTGGGATTGATCTTCTGTGGAATCTAACATTCTCCATCCATTTTCAACCTTCAAATCAGGATGACCCAAGTCAAGAAACTCATTATCTTTGTCCTCAAGGCTTATTTCTTGTTGTAAGACTGCTTGTTGACCACTCTGCTCATGTTGACCTTCATAACTGAACTCTGTGTTCTGAGCGGAATTGTAGAGAATGTCCCTGGTGTCAGACTCCATTTTTGGAAGAGAGATTTCATGGACGTCGTCTTGAGTTTCTGGAAGATGTTCCTTAGTGACAGGAATCTCTTCAGTCATCCAGTTTTCTTGAGAAATGTTTGCATCAACAACTGGGCTTTGTAGATTCTGAAGGACAAGAAGACATTTAGATAAATTACATGCCTTAACATACGTATAATACACGAAACAGAGTAGTGCTTAAGACATTGGATTGAAACTGGGGAGGCTCAAGTTCAAGTCCTCATTAGACATGGAACTCTCTGGGTGATTTTGAGCCAATCACTCTCTCTCTCTCTTTCTCATCCCAAGCTCCCTCATGGGATTGTGTGATAGGGTTATGTTCCCATGAGCTCTTGGAGCCATAGTGGTATACAATACAGACATTTAAACAGGCAGAGATATAGCGATACATCTCCAACTCCCTGTCAAGGCAAAATTGTATATTCTTGCGAAAGCAGCTGTTTCAGGATCTAAGACTTAGAGTGGATCCTTCTCACTAGAAATGAGTGAGTTCTTTAAGGCAGGGTAGAGAATTTATGGGTGTCTACATGTTGCTGAGCTACAACTTTCTCTAGCACTAGCCGGCATGCCCAATCCTGGAACATGCAATCCAGCCATAACTGGATGTATTTCAAGTTCATGTTAGTTTATTTCATTTCATTTTATTTTAGCCCCTGAGTGAGCAATCATTTCAGATACTTTTACTTCCAGAGATCACATCTGTGTCTACCACCTGACGCATATTCCACCTACACCTTCCTCCTTGCACACACATCATTATTCGCTCCTGCAGACATTCTCACCTTCACAAAACACACACTGTCCATTCAGGATCCCTGGAAGGAAGATCTGCCTGCCTGCCAGCATTCTGGGATGGATGGAATTGCAGTGACAACAGGGAAACGGATTCTCCATTCCTTACTGGCCAAGTTCCTCAGCTAACTGGGCAAGGAAATGAGGCAGGGTATCCAGCGGTTCTTTGGCACAGGCTTATTATTTATGTATTTATTAACTTTTTAGACCACATGACTCTTGGCAGTTTGTAAAAAAGAAAATGTCCACAGTCTAATAGTGTAATAATAATTATAGTGTAATCATAAATCGGCACTTATTATTAATTTAGAACCAGAGCGACCTATAAACACTTCTGATGATGCTTTCCTAATTGCATCCAAAGGCCTTCTGGAAGAGTTCCTTATTAACCTGCTACTGGAAGGCCAGTAGGTAAAGCACATCTAGCCTGCAGTGGAAAGCTAGTTCACAAAAGCCAACCCATGATTAAACGGGAAAAGCCTGGGCCCTCCTTACGCTTATTAAGGAAATTTTCGAAAGCCTGTCTTGTTCCTCTCCTCCAAAGGGTTTAGACCAGTTCATCAGAATGAAATCATTCTTATAATAACTCCATGGGGTGGAAGAGAAGGCCAATCCAAGCAGAGTTTTATGGCTAAGTAGAGACTCAACTTCTAATGCCACCTTGCCTGTCCAAAGCTGTGAACAAATGGCCTTTTGTGATTCTTCACCTTCTAAGTGACCAGCAAAAATGGAAGGACCACAAATTTCTTCAAAGGGAAGGGAAACACAGGGGTTCTCAAACACTGTGATACCATGAGTCCGTACAAGAAGAAATGATTTTGTGTGAATAAAGTTAATGGATTCATTAGAGTTGGGCAAGAAATAAGCATGCCACTTACATTTAATACTTATCACCTGGGGACCGCCAAACTCTGCAGTATTGTTGTGGGCTTGTGCAAGCAAGGTGGGGAAAAATTTGACCGGGCTCCTACTTTACCTGCACAAGCTTGGTCAGGTTCTAAAAAAAAGAAATCACAATTTGTGACCCCTTGTTCTAACACGCGCTGCAGTTCTTTCTTTACATGTATTGATTTGTCATGGGGGTAAAGAGGTGGCTGCCACTGAAATTGAGACCTAAGATGATGACTAAGGGGACGCGGTGGCGCAGCGGCTTAATGACGCTGAAAGTTGC